TTTAGTATTTCTTTCCTTTTACTTCAGCCTATTTCCCTTTTCTCTACTTGTTTGTTTCCTGTTTTCTTAGGATTTGGTTCCTTTGTGTTCTTTCCATGAAATCTGATAAGGCTGCTGCCGGTTCAGCTCTGAAGGTAAATCTTCCCACTAGAAATTTGTATGTTTAACCAAATCAAGCAAAACCAGATGAACAGAAAGATACATTGTTCCAGCTTCCTGTCATCCATAAATAACCCAGAAAAAATTATGGTAATGGGCCCCTTTACCTTTTTATTTCCTTTAAGACAGGGTCTCACTTTATAGCCCTGGCTGGTCTGGAACTCACTATGTAGACCAGGCTGACCTTGAACTCAAAGAAAACCACCTGTCTCTGCCTCCTGAGTGAGTGCTGAAATTAAAGATGTGTGCTACCACAGCTGGCCCCTTGCTTTTTGTTAAAATTACTTTTTGCTGTTCTATTGTAGGATTTTTTTTTAAAACATAAGCGTATGTCTTAGTTTTTCAAATAACAGTTAAATGCCATTAAGCCCCCACTAGGCCTAGAATTCCTGGCATGGGCTAGTGAGCAAGTGCTTTATCACTGAGCTGCATCCCAGCCCCATTCGCTTATGGAGAGTATGGGTTGACTGCAGACTAGGAGTTTCCTAGACTTAACCAGGGTCACTTTTATTCACTGAGCGAAAGCTCTTGCCTCTCCCATCAGTGTACACACTTCTCCCTCTGTGCGTGTAGGTTCTGTTGTTCTTTGCTGCAGCTTTGGTTGATGAACACGGTCCTCCAAACACAACAAACCCACATGGAGTTTACTGGGAAAGGGAGTGAAGGGAGGGGTAGGTGTTAACCCATCGGGAGCAGAAATTAAAGAGCGAGAGAGAACAGGCGGGAGGCACTAGCTTATAAAGGGAAAGGGATTGGTTTATAAGGAGGCTCAGCAGTTGGGGCCAGTGAAACTGGAGTCATGGAGCTGCTGTTGGCCCAGATCCGCATGGCCCCAGTTCCACATGGTTTCTGCATACAGAGTCCTCTTGCAGCCACCTAACACATGCATTATGCGGCATGCAACCTTTGGCAGCCTTTGAGCCCTCAAAGAAGGTTGCCCAGAAAAGAGAAGTCCACGGATGGGAAGGGAGCCAAAGGGTTAGAGAGCCCCTGCTCCCAGCCAGGAGAAGTCAAGGTGCAGGCTTAGGAGAGAGCAGGCATAGAGTGGCAGGCAGGTGCTGAGGAGAAGCCACTATGGGGCAGGAAAAGGAGAAGATTGGGGAGCAGGAACAGGGCCAGGTTGCCCCAGAACCCAGGGAAAGGGAGACGCCAGGATATCAACAGGTTTTATAGCTCAGGCATGTGATCTTATCACATGTCCTACCTCTGCAGGGTTAGCACTCCCTTTGTTACTATAGCTGGCAAATTTCCTCTTCTAAAGCTCACTTCTGATAAACTGGGGGAGGCTTAATCCCTAACTCACTCTCCTGTTTTTATAAACTTGCTTTTAAAATAAGTCGTGAAGTTTATGGGTTGGAGTCATTGCATCTAGGTCCAAGCTCTGCTTTAAATAAGTTTCATATACGGGTACATACATACATACATACATACATACACACACACACACACACACACACACACACACACACACGCACACTCATATATCCTTACTCAGGCTGAAATGGATCCCATATGTTTGGGCAAATAAAGGTATAGCAACTCCTTATGATTGTACCAGTGTAGTTTAGAAGGTAGTAAGGGTTATCTTCCTACAGTTGGAGTATTTGAAGTTGATACGTGATTCATAGTATTTCCAGTTGTAGACACCTGTATGTTTTTAATACAAGAGTATTTCACAGTACACTTAGTGTGTTTAACCGAATTGAGTTTCTACTGATAATGTGGGACATTTTTATTCACTTCATTTCCCTTTTTTATATAATTCTTTAGCATAAGGCAAAGTTGTAAACCTCACACTCATAACAAATCATTAAGATAGAACTGAAAGTGGCTAAAGCAATGGCTTAGAGGTTCAAGAGCAGTGGCTGCTCTTCTAGAGGACCCACGTTCGATTTTCAGCACAAATGTGACGGCATGCAGTCCTTGTAACTCAGGTTTCCAGGAGATCTGATGACGTCTTCTGACTTTCTCAGGCACCAGCCAAGCATGGACATGTGGTTCACAGACACATGTGCAGACAATATACCCATACACATAAATTAGTTTTTAAAAGAGAGAACCAAAGAGGGGAGGCAGATATCTTATGTAAAACTGAGGATTGCTACAAACTCTTAGAATTATTTTATTTTGATTTGGAAGGCTGTGTGTGAGGTAAATATCCATTGAGGTCTTTTAGGATAACCAAAGAATTGTTTGGGTATTGAAAACACACACACATACAGCATCTGCTGCTAGAGATGCAGCTCAGTTGGGAGAGCGCCTGAAGGGCATGCACAGAGCCCTGGATTTGATCTTCAGCACTGCATAAACCTGTTGTGGTCACCAAGGCTGTAATAGTAGCACTGGGGAGATGGAGGCAGGAAGATCAGGAGCGTGGAGCCAGCCTGACATACATGAGACCTGTCCTAAAAACAAGCATGCCCTGTATTCATCTGGTTGTGTGGCTTCCCATTTTCAAAACATCTGCTGAGTATTACACAGTGTTACGGAATGGGTAGTCTTAAGGGCTGATCAGACATGAGTTTTTTTTTTTTTTTTTTTTTTAGTCCTGATTTCTTTCTTCATTTTTTGGTCTCTGCATTTGGCCCAAAGAGTGAATACAAGATAAAACTTCAAAATGCAGGCAAAAGAAAGTTGTAATGATTATATTACAGCCATAAGCTTTTACTTAGTTAATCACTAATATTTAGTTTTTAGGAGAGTTAGGGTGTAAAAAGTAAGTTGGTTTACACAAGGGAGCAGGATAGTTTGTGCTTTTAGAACAGAAGTTTCCTGGGAAGCCTCAGGTTTTTCATGTATCATTTAGTAATTTTACCCAGTGGCCGTTTTTATTTTTCTCTGACTATTACTTACCTGCCATATGAGGTGGATGATAGGGAAGAATGAGTCGCTTTGTTTGGTTAGCAGTCACTAGGTGCTGTGCTGGTTTTTCCTGTCTTCCTGTTTTCCACTTGTCCTCAGAATGGGACATGCTTTGGGGATGGGCTTAGACCTTGTTGCTTTTCTTCCACTTCAGAAACACTCTGGCCAAGTCACCCTGGCTCTGGTGCTTCTCGGTAGCAGCTTTCTGTTCCCTTGAGTTTTCAGACCTGTCTTACTACCATCTGTTTTCCAGCAAGCCTGGAGTGCTTTTTAAAGGGAGACATGGAAACAATGCCCCTAGACTAGCTACCCTCCCCTTGTAGCCACGTGTTAACCAGGCTTGCTTATTATTTTCCAGGGTTGTTTGTTTGTTTGTTTGTTCATTTGTTCCTCGAGTTAGCTAAGTCTTTTCTCTCCCTCTTTTTTCAGTGTGGAATTCTCTCCACCAGTGCTTCGAATGTCTGACTCATTTTATTGCAGGGGTTTCAATTTGATTATTTCAGTTACTCTACAGTCTGTTCTTTACCCTGTCACTTTCTGCCACATCATCCAGAGTAATTTCATCATGTCATTATTTATATATTCGTTTGATGTCAATCTTGCCATGTAGAACACAGTCCTTGAGAGGACAGAAAGCTTGCATGTCCTAAGTCCTGAAGTGCCAATCACATAGTCATTGATCAGAAAGTATTTGTAAAATGATCATCTCTAATGAGAAAACTTGGAAGGAGAATCTGAAGATAGCCTCATTTGTAACTCTGGTGGCTTTTAAAGATGGCCATTAAAGCCATTCCTTAAGAAGCTTCTCTGTCAGTGCTGTAAATGATTGTGATTAAATGTTACCATGACACTTTTGCCTCCGTCATCAGTCATAAGCCTTTAATTTTATCACACAATAAAGGAATTGAAGTAGCTCTGCCCCCAAAAAACAGTCCTGGTAACCTTCTGGACCCCACCTTAACATCTTCTGTTAGGTGTAAGCTTGCCTTGTGAGGTCACACAAGGCTCCTGAGACCCCAACATTGAGCCACTTCAGCCAGGCACCCAAGAAGCTAGGGATTCCTTTAACAGAAACAGTGTAGAGAACAATTGGATATTCTTTAGTATTGAATTTGATGGGATATGAAAGTGCAGTGGAGCTTTATGCTCTTTCCTCCTCTCCAAATTTTCCATCTGAAGTATTGAAAATAACCATGTCTTCCCTGGTGGCAGTGGGGAGTTTTTCTTGGTTTGTCAGTGTTGGGCCCCAAAATCAAAGTAAATATGAATGATAATCTGTCATTTACAAACATTCTATTGTTTAGAATATTAGTTGGAAGATGTATTATATTTGTTTGTTCTGTGGGACATTTGTTTAATGATGCAAAGATGTGTTGCATTCTTTTATGTTGCGTTTATTTAACTCTGTGAAGCTTTGTTACTTTGCCTGTCTAAAACACCTGATTGGTCTAATAAAGAACTGAATAGCCAACAGCCAGTCAGGAGAAAGATGGGGCTGGCAGTCAGAGAGAATAAGTAGGAGAAATCTGGGAAGAGAAGATCAAGGATCGAGAGAAAGAGAAGAGAGGACGACTCCAGGGGCCAGCCACCCAACTGCAAAGCAATCCATGGAGTAAGAAGTTAAAAGGGCATATAGAAAGGTAAAAGCAAAAAGTAGATGGGATAATTGAAGTTATGCAAAGCTGGCTAAAAATAAGCCAAGCTAAAGCTGTGCATTTGTAAGTGATAAGACTCCATGTGATTATTTGGGAGCTGGGTGGCAGGCTCCCCAAAGACCAAAAGAATACAAAGAGCAAATAATAACTAATAAATAACAACATTCTACACAGCTGTAGAAAAATGCATTCATTAGTTTCAAAAAATCTAGACAACTCAATATTATCTCTAGGCCGTGTCCAAACTTGAGAGGAGCACATCCAATGTTTCTGTCTTTCCTCCCTTCCCTCCCTCTCCTCTCTTCTCCTCACATTCTTTCTCCTCTTTTCTTCCTTCTTTCTTCACTAGATAGCATGGACCCTGGAATCTCTAAACAAGATGAAGAAAAGAAGTACACTTCTGTCTGTGTTGGCAGAGAAGATGATATTAGAAAGTCAGAAAGAATGACGGCTGTTGTCCATGATAGAGAAGTGGTCATTTTCTACCACAAAGGAGAATATTATGCTATGGACATTCGCTGCTACCGTAAGATTTCTTTTCATTTCTATAATTTGTACTTGTTCATCACAAAACTATTAAAATTCAGTTTAGTGATTAGATATAATATCAATTCCTTTTCAGATTCTGGAGGACCCTTACACTTGGGAGAAATTGAGGTATGCAAAATTAAATTTACTCTAAGCAAATTCAGATTGTTCCTTTGTCATTACTTTATTCCTTATTCAAAGATTAAGAATTTATATTTAATTCCACTTTAGTACTTTAAAGATATACCCTATAATATAAAGAAAACATTTTTCCTGATAAATAATAAATGTCTTTTGACCTAACAAATATACTGGGATGTCTACCCTATGGATATAATTGCACAAATTTTGATTATGTACAGGAAGATTTAAAACCACCTCATTAAATACATTATAACATAGCCATTCTGTGGAACATTATGTATCCATTAAATTACTGAAGCAGTCCTGTGTGTGCTGGTATGGAGGGATGGTAACAATGTATTTTTGAGTATTAAGGGCAAATAGAGTAGTTCCAATGAGATCAAATTTCCAATAGATTCACTTTTTATTGCTATATTGTATGCTTTGAATTTTATGAGTATATGTTTTCAATATAATAAACGTGTTTCTAAATGTTTGAGAGAAAACATATTTAAAATATTACCTGGAGAATTTGGGGAATTTCCTTTGCTTTCTTGTACTCTAAAACTAGTTATCTAATTTCTGTCTTCTGTTTGTTTGGGGTTGTTTTGTCTACTTTACCTGTTGTAAACTACAAGCCTCAGTTTCACTCTCTGTATACTTATTTGACTGCTAACCATGTCTGTTCCTGTTCCTTATGTCAAAGGGCATGTGTTTAAGTTAGGAAAATGTGATTATTTGCTGAAACTTCTATGGGAACACAAGTTAGCATTTCTGATTCTGGTGTACAGGGTGCATACTCCGTGATGCCTGGCATCCCTTCATTAAGAGGGTTTAAAAGTTGGGATCCCAGTTTCCAGTAGCATTTGCACTCATGCCTTTAATAACTCCCAGGCCTTACAGTTCTTCTAGAAGCTAGTGGAAATTCCTAGGGAAGTACTAGCAGCCCTGCCCTTTTGCTGTCAAGGAAATGACATTAATGTAGATAACCTCTGGCTACGAGGCAGTGTGGTCTTGGGCCAGCCAGTTCTCTTCTGCTGGTGCTCTCTGAGTTCTAGTCAGCTACAGAAACAGCTTGATTGTTCTCATTTTGCTTGTGCTGAATAACTTGTAATTAGGAGGGGGGGCACTGCCTTCTTTGTTCATTTGTGATGTTTATTTACTTATTTGAGCATGGGGACTATCCCTATGAACAAAGAGTAACAGTGGAGGTGGTTCTCCTCGTCCATCATGTGGGTTCCTGGGATTGAACTCACATCATCAGCCATAGTGGAAGGCATCTTCAACCAGCAGAGCTCTGTCATTGGCAGGCTCCTCTGTTTGTGAGACAAAGGCTCATTGTGTAGTCCAGGCTGGCATCAAGCTCAGGATCCTCTAGAGTCAGCTCCTGAGTGCATGCAGCTCCAACTGGTGTGGTTCTCCTGAATTAGAGTCTTCACTAAATCTGAGATCTGTCATAAGCACTTGAAGTGTCAAGATTATTAAATCTGTTGTTTTTCCCTTCTAGGATTTCAATGGACAGTCATGTATAGTTTGTCCCTGGCATAAATACAAAATCACTTTGGCAACAGGAGAAGGATTATACCAGTCTGTAAACCCTAAAGACCCATCAGCGAGGCCTCAGTGGTGCTCCAAAGGAGTGAAGCAAAGGACTCACAGGGTGACGGTGGATAATGGCAATATTTATGTGACGCTTTCAAAGGAACCTTTTAAATGTGACTCTGACTATTATGCCACTGGAGAATTCAAAGTAATTCAGAGTTCTTCCTGATAAAAAATATATGGCAGCAAAAAATGTGTGTATGTTTGAAAATATTTTAAAATTATTTTGTTTCAGTACCAAAGATGAATTGATTCCATCACAGGTATACAAGTGACTTTAGAAGTCACAGGTTTTGTTAGGGGCTCAGAGCTCTTGCTATTCTTCCAGAGGGCCTGAGTTTGGTTCCTCACACTCACACCAAGTGGCTCACAGTCACCTGTGACTCCTGCTTCAGGGAATCTGATGCCCTCTTCTGGCCTCTGTGGGCACCTGCAAGCACATGTCATATATGCATAGATAAAATAAAAGCAAGCATTTTTTAAAGTCTTAGACCTGAGAGGTTTGAAAGCACATTTACTTTAGTGTGATTTCAAGGCCACCAACAAGGTGGACAGAATACATTCTATCCCTCTCTGAACTGATTGGAATCTGTAATTAGAGGCTTGAGATGGTCAGTTTAAGAAGGATGTGCACAGTCATACAGATGAAACAAAATGTAACAGGAGAAAATTTAAGTGTGAAAAGATCCCTTTTAAATACATCAGGTTTCATTTGGGAAAGTCTTTATACATTCAAAGCTAACAGTTAACAGAATGACCCTCCATTACTCATCCCAGCAGTTCCCAACATTCTTCTGTTGTTCGTACATCGCTTTGTCCACAGATTACCTACCTCCTGTGTGTATGGTATTTACAGTTTTAAAGATAAAATTTAGATATACTGAGATCCTCAAACTTTAGTTGTATACTTTTGCTTACAAATGTTCACCAGATGTTTGTAAGTTAAAATTGCTTCCAATGAGGCCAATGTATATGTTGAACTTAAAAATGAGAAACTTAAAGCTAGGTGTGTTGGCACACACCTTTAATCCCAGCATTCTGAGGCAGAGGCAGGCGGATCTCTGTGAGTTTGAGGCCAGCCTGGTCTACACAGCCTGGTCCAGGCATTCAGTGCTACATAGTGAGACCCTACAAAGAGGGAGGGTGCTAGATGAGAAAACCCAATAAAGCCTGACATGACTTGTCTCTCATCTGAGCCAGTTCAGAAGTAAAAAAGCCACACACAGTGATGTCCTAACCAAGACAGATGCACAGACTTATATTCAATGAACCAAAGTACATTGCCTATATGCGACTGGAAAATAAATGTTTAAAAGAATTTTAGAGACCATTGAGTGTGTGTACAGTTTTCTATAAATGTGTAATGTTTTGCTCCTCAGCGTTTACAAGCAGGTTTATGGTCACTTGGTTTACCCTGGTTTTACTATGCCAGTAATTTGTGGCCAGTGCTGTTCTGGCTGCCTGGAACCCACATCATACTTGTTATTCAGGATTTAGAGAAACACCCTGGGTATCTGTCATGCAAAACTTAGTACTCAGTAAAATGTAGGTGTAAATGGGGCCAGAAAGGATGGGTAGGTTATGATTTTTTAGTGAAGGCTTACAAATCTAAGTTTGAAAGCATAGTAATCTTCATGATGTAGGCTATATTAAATGTCTAAACCTAGTTCTTAACATGCAACTTTACCTGGACTCTTACTTGGTTATTGTAAAAAACAAGTGAGGGATACAAGGTGAACCCTAAGAGAGTCATGCAAGGTCTCCCACAGAAGGGGAAAGGAACAAGATCTCCTGAGCATATTAGGAGTGAGGGGAGGCTTTGAGAGGAGAGGGAGCTAAGAGAAAAAGAAGGGGAGAGGAGAACGTGAGGGAGCAGGAAGATTGAGTCAGAGAAAGAACAGAGGAGAGCAAGAAAAGCGATACCATAATAGAGGGAGCCATTATAGGTTTAAAGAGAAATCTGGCACTAGGGAAACGTCCAGAGACCTCCAAGGATGACCCCAACTAACAATCTAAGCTATAGTGGAGAGGCTACCTTAAATGCTCTTCCCCAATAATGAGACTGATGACTACCTTATATACCATCCTAGAACCTTCATCCAGTAGCTGATGGAAACAGAAGCAGAGACCCACAGCTAAACACTGAGTTGAACTCCTGGAATCCAGTTGCAGAGAGGGAGGAGTGATGAGCAAAGGGGTCAAGATCAGGCTGCAGAAACCCACAGAGACAGCTGAGCTGAACAAGGGAGAGCTCATGGACCCCAGACTGATAGCTGGGAAACCAAGGTAGGACTGACCCAGACCCCCTAAACGTGGGTCTCAGTTAGAAGGGCTGGACAGTCTAAGGGACCTCTAACAGTGGAGCCAGGATGTATCCCTGGTGCTTGAAAGGACTTTGCTAGCGCATTCCCCATGGAGGGGTACTCCCTTAGCCTAGAGGCAGGAGGGAGGGTCTAGGCCCTACTCCAAATGACTTGACAGATTTAGATGATCCCTCTTGGAAGGCCTCACCCTCCCTTTGGAGTGGATGGGGAATGGCATAGGGGTGGGAGTGAGGGGGAATGGGAGGGAGAGGGAACTGGGATTGATATGCAAAATAATGAAAAATGTTTAAAGGAAAAAAAAAAGAGGGAAATGAGTGAGGGGCTGGAGAGATGGCACAGGGGTTAAGAGCATCTGCTGCTGTTGGCAGAAGATACTGCAGTTCAGTTCCCAGCATCCACAGCAGTAACTCACAAGTGCTTGGACCTATTGCTGTGTATTAGTATATTTCCTTTTCTTTGGGGATATGGGTTACATGACAAAAGAGATTTCTTACTCGTTTTAGTTGGACTTTCTCAATGTTGAGAGCAACAGTTACTACGTTCAGAAAATGTGCCACCTCTGCCGGGAGTTCAGACCAGCCTATTTCTTGAATGTGTTAGAATATAAAGTGCCTGAAAGAAACTAAAGTTGTTCCTTTGGGCAAAAACTAGGACATCTGTCAGGAACCAAGGCAGTAATGAGCAATATGGAATCTTGTTCTAAATTTTTGTCTTTAAATTTGGAACTAAAAGTGACCACTTCGTCAGGTTCGGTGGTGTGAGCCTGAGGCAAGGAATTCAGAGCCAGAACAGGGCTATGGCTGAACTCCATCACCTTACCACATCCTGTCTCATCAGATTTGCAACCAACATTTTGTTTTGTAAATTTATGGTATCTGAATGTCAAGTCGTTCCTAACTTCACAAGTGAGTTATAAAATCAGTAGGGAGACTTGCTATACTGCCTGCAAATAGAAAGATACAGACTTTTCACTACCTTTGAACGTGTAGCTTTTTTTTTTTTTTTTTTTTTAAGTTGTCTGCCTATTTGTATTTGTACTACACTTCCTCTGGGCCCTACAGAAGCCAGAGTGCAGTGGCTCCCCAGGGACCACAGTTACAATCAGTTGTGAGCTGCCATGTGGTTGCTAAGAACCAAATCTGGCCACTCCAAACTCTTAAGCCATCTCTCCAGCCTCAAACTGTATAGCCTTTAGTTATAAATATACAGCCTATAGTTATGAAATTTTCCTTTCTGGGTAAGCATTCGGACCTGTTCTTAATCAAAAATATAAATGAATTATGACCACACCAATATTATAAACTGTAAACTCTAACAAAATATGAATTCATTAAAAACATTGCATAGTAAAGGCAGGGAAGATGGCTCAGTGGTTAAGAGTATGTTGTGTTCTTCCAGAGGACCTGTGTTTGGTTCCCAGCATCCATTTCAGATTTGATACTTTCTTCTGGCCTATGTAGATAGGTACCTGCACATATACATATGAAAAACAAATATACTGGGTCATCACATGTATTGTACATTAAGATTCATTTTATTCTCTATGCCATATAAATACAAGAGAATGATGTCATAGTTTTCCCTGTTCTACCCCCTTTTAAGAGAGCATTCAGCATATGTAAACTGGTGTTTTGGTTTTGTCTGATGAAATGTACCCATGGATGGATGACTGTTGAGCTCTCTAAAGTGGTCTTTGTGTCTGGATTTCTCTTTCATTCAATTCAGCTAACTGGTCAAACACAGAATGTAGAACTTGGATCTTGTTGCTCTGCTTGTTGGCAGGAGGCTTGGGGTGGTCTAAAAGGTTGTCTGGCTTCTCTGGCAATGACCTGTAAGGTTTTGCTTTGATTTCACCTTCAGAAAAGTTGGGCTCTGGAAGCGCGGGTTCAGAAAAGGCTTTTCTAAAATTTTCATTCTCTCTATTCTGCCTTATGGATTCTTCTTCTTGAAAAATGTTCTTTATCTTCGCCAGCACAGCATTAACACTGACTGCCTATATCAATTAAAAAAAAAAAAATGTTAAGAAGTAATGTTTCTTTTTAAGGTACTAACTACCACAGACAAAAAGTCAGTAACATGTTGCCTTTCCTTTGAGGAAACCCTGACACATGACAAGCTATAGATTGATTCCTTATCCTAAATATGGAAAAGTGTTTAAACAAAATACACATGAAAATAACCTCAGAAGTGAGAAGTAAACAAGTTTATTCATTCAACTTATTCTGTCTGAATTACTAATGAGACAAGTAGTGAAGGACAGCAGCATATTCCACTAAGCTACAGGGAACTAGTTTATCTTAGAAGGACTGCCTGAAGATGAGGTGTTGGACAGCAAATACTCTGAGCATTTTCTTTCTCTCCTTTGGATTTCAAAGCACTTTGAATTTCTAATAGAATTTTATTACAGTAGCATGCTAATTTATTTCATTGTGCTATTTTCATAATGTATATATTGCATCTTAATTCTGCCCCCTCTTTCTTTACCCTCTCACCCGTCCCTTGCCTTCTCTAATAGTCCCTTCCACTAGTTTAGACCTTTTCAAAAATCGTGCTAGTTCCACACAATGAGACAAAACATACTGTACTTTTCTTTCTCTGCCATTTGTACTTTTTAACAGGTTGACCTAAAGTTCCATTCTTTTAACTTTTCAGACAATATAATTTCATTTCAAAGGATTCTTTAGCATTGACACAGATGATGACGCTGGCTTTTTTTCTTCTGTTTATATACTGTATTAAATGCATTAGTTTACAAATACAGAACCATCTAGCATCCCTGAAATGAAACTGACTTAATCATGTTGGATGATGTTTTTAATATATATTTCTGAGTGTAGTTTGCAAGTACCATATTAAGGATTTTTGCATCTAATTAATTTCAAAGATAATCAAGGGTTATCAAAGATTATATTGGTTTGTAGTCTTCCTTTCCCTTCATTTTCTTCCTTTCTAATTTTTTATTTGTAAAGTTTGCATTATCAGCTAAAATATGTATTGAAAAGTAGTATTTTGCTACTGTTGTATGGAATAGTGTATAGATATTTGTTAAATCCACTGACCTGTAGTGTATTTAACTCTAATGCTTCTTTCTCACCACCCCTACCCCTTGGTGTTTTCACTGTGTTTCTCTGTGGCTTTGGAGGCTGTCCTGGAACTAGCTCTGCCTGCCTCTGACTCCTGAGTGCTGGGATTAAAGGCGTGTGCCACCACCGCCTGGCTCTAATGTTTGTTGATATTTGTTGATGATAATGCTTCATGTTGATGACTGTAGGGTTACTGGAGCCACCACAATTGTATTGTAATCTTATCTCTCCTTGTATATTGTGTAGAATTTGTTTAATAACACTGAGTGATTCAATTTTCAATGCATACATTGGTTATGGTCATTATGTATCCTCAGTGGATTGTTCCACTTACAGCTTGGTTGTGAAAGGTTCCTCACAGGCTTGGTCCCCAGGTGATGGACCTACTTTGGGGTATGCTGGTAATGTTAGTTCGTGTGTTCTACCTACAGTAAATATCTCATTGGAGGCATATTCTAGGGGCTTTATTTTGCCCTGTGCCCGTCTCCTCCCCTAGCTTCTTGTCTGTCATTATGTGAACAGCCTCTGCCACCTTCCTTCACTGACATGCTGTCTCAGCCTCATGATGTGTCATTTGTTTTTCTGAGAGGTGTCTAACTCTCAAGTTATTTTGCTTTGGAAAATATATTTCAGGATATTCTTGTTTGTTCATATTCTTCTGACTTGTCTTTTCATATGTTGATAAAGTACAATTTCTTAATTCTTATATAGATCAACTTATTAATGCTTTCCTTTAAATTGTATGGGTTTTTTGTTTTTTTTTTGTTTTGTTTTGTTTTTTTTTTCCTGTTTAATGAACCTATACCCAAAGTCATGAGAACATTCTCATCTGTTATATCCTGGAAGCATTATTATTTTGCCTTTCTCAGATTTATAATCTACGTGGAATTGATATGAGGTAAGAAAAAATAGTTACCTCAATGATACCCAATTGTTTTACCCCTACTTATCAGGAAAATCCTTTTTGGATTGTCTTAGAACATTATTGTCATAATGTCCATAAGTTATGTTGTATGTAGGTCTATTTATAGCTCTCTGTGTCTAGCTGCTTTGCCTATTCTTGGGCCAGTTTTGCTCTGTGAATCATGGGAGCTTCATAAAATGTCTTTATAACTGGCAGAGTAAGTTTTGCTAGGCTGTGAACATGGCATATCCTCTGTTTACTTTGGCATTCTTAAAGTTCTCTTAATTTTTATGATTTCATCATAGTTCTTATATACTTTATTAACTTTTATCATATTGCAACACACAGTAGCATTAAACTTTTCCCACAATCTTTAAGTTTAATATACTGCAAATTAAAATCCAAACGTATGTGTGTACATAAATTGACAGCTGATTCTAGATTGAACAGAGAAAGCTGGTAATATAACTCGGCTCACTTAGTAGGGTTCTTGAGTGGTGTGCATGGAAGCCTCAGGTTTGGCTTTGAGCAATGCATAAACCAGGCATGCTTGTGATAGCTATAATCCCAGCAAACATGGCAAAGGGGGGTAGTGTCAAAGTTCAAGAGAATAAGGGAAATGCGTGTGTTGCTGTGCTTTACAGTGAGGAACATGTAAGACGGGAGGCAGGAGAGCAACCTGAGGCCTCAACCCTTTCAAGAAAACCAGAGCTGGAACTAAACTGAGAAGGACTACTCTGATGCCTTCTGTAGCTAGATGGTGGAAGAGAAGTTCTTTGCGTGACTCTGCAAGTGAGTAAAGACAGGGCAGTGGCAGAGGGAAGGCTGAAGGACAGCAGTGAAGGGAGAACTGAAAGCACACCAGGGCAACTCAGAGGAAAGCACAAAACCCTGAAACTCCAGCCTGCCCCCGAGTGGGGCTGAGGGGCTCTTGTTCATGCCCAAACACCCGTACGCCAGAGTGCACACAGTCCCAGCGATTCATCAGACTGTCTGTACAGTGGGAGAAATCCACAGTTCCTACAGGCCTTACATGTCCAGTGCTGTGATTTGTTCTGAAGGTGTCTCAGTGTCCACTCCTTCTCAGGGTTTCTCAGAAAGGACCCACTGAGAAGGACACACTGTTAAGGACTAAGCTACTTTGGATCTCAGATTCCAGAGAGGTCAAAGATCAGAGTCCCTGAGGATTTCACAGCAGTGACAAGGTGTGACAGTCAAGGAAAGGGTTAGTTCTGCCAGTCATTGAGACGTTTAAGCAGCAGGAAGTGCAAGCTGTGGGGACACAGTGGTCAGTGGAAAGGTCAGTAGATCATTCACTTCCCAGAGTTTCCTCTCCCTGTCACAGCCTGTTAAGTGAGGTCAGTAGTCTGTTTGCTGCCCATACTCTATGGGGCATCTGAAGATACGCTTTGATTTGGATGTTTGCCTGGGCATCTGGAGTATGAAGCACTCAATCATCAAAGACTGCTGGTGTATGTGTAGAACCAAATTTTAAGAGATGAGTGCCCACTCAGCCCTGTTAGCACTCATCATGGCTCCTTGGCTTGCATACAGAAAGCCTGTGAGGCAAATACTGCTATGCCATAGACATATCATTGACCAAGCAGGTAGGAAATGCAGGGCACAGCAGGACAGGGCAAGGCAAAGCTCAGCCTTTATACAGCACTAGTCTGTTTGCTGCAAATGTATTGACCACAGGCCTCATCTTCATCCTGCTACCCCCACTTTCCCACCAATCACATTTAGCAGATCACAGTGTTATTAGAGGATGGAGATAGAAACTTGCTCAATTCATGAACTTCAACTAAGAGGAAACTTGTAGTGGTTTCTTCCTCTCTTTACATCATTTGTTTGTTTCTTGTGTCTAACATTATTTTTCATTTTAATTGAAGTTTAAGATTTCTGTCCTACTGTTTTTAGTTCTTTAATCTATATTTCTGACTCTTTCCTATTGGTATTGGTGATGACATTGCTGTTTTGTTTATTTTCTATGTCCAGAAGACTTGCTTTCCTGTTGTGACTGTTGATTATTTTCATCCCTTTAGGTGATCCATCATTCAGAACTCGCAAGAAAATGCTTTTAGCCAGGCATTAGTGGTGCACTCCTTTAATCCCAGTACTTGGGAGGCAGAGGCAGGAGGATCTCTCTTAGTTCAAGGCCAGCCTCTATAAAGCAAGTTCTTGGACAGCCAGGTCTACACAGAGAAACCTTGTGTCAAGAAAGCAAAGGAAAAAAAGAGGAAAGGGCTTCTTACTAACCCTCATATAGCACGAGAATAGATGTCTGGTCTGACAGATGTACATCCGAATGAGAAACACAAGAGCTATGACTAAAACAAGACAGCGTGACTCCTGAAAGTTTATACGTGAGTCCAAAGATGATACTGAAGCATATGTATGCCAAAGAATTCAAAAGATTGTTTTTCAAAATGATGACTGAGTTTGAATAGAATACAAATGGCCAGCTGAATGAAATAAGGAAACTAATATAGGCAATAAGATGAAACCCAGAAAAGGAACCAAACTCAAGTCTTAGCAATAAACAAGGTCAACTGGAAGGCATACTGAGGACAGAGTGAACAAATCAGTACATTCAGATAGTCAGAAAAAACAAGCTGTGAACAGTATAAATGGTAAGTGGGGGCATTATTAGAAGGCTAAGTGTATGAATATCCAGTATTGATGAAAGAGCCAAGTCATGAAAGAGATGGAGAAGCTTATTTGGTGAAATAATAACAGAGAACTTCCCATATGTTCCCAGTGCAAGGAGAGTTTAGAACCAAATACAAATGAAAAGTTTGCATGCCTTATATATACATAGAAACATATGCCTTATGTACTCATAGAAGTAAGCATGCCAGTATACAGGTAGAACATGAACACTGGTTGGTGAGGAGTGAGGAGAACCAAGAGAATCCCTGGAGTTTTTTGCAAGTCAGCCTAGCTAGACTGATGAGTCTAGATTCAGTGAGATACCCTGTTGCTGGATTTTCCTTCTCATCAAGTCCCACCTACCTTCAGCTCCAAATAAGCACACAGACATGCTCTATGGATTTATAAACTGTTGACTGATGACTAGGACTTCTTATTGGCTATCTCTCTCCTAGTTATTAACCCATTTCTATTAGTCTGTATATTTCCACATGGTCTTATCTTACCGGAGAAGGGTCTGGACCTGCTACTCCTTCCTCGGCTACATGTCGTCCTTTGCGATCCCTCTTTGCCTACTTTTCCCAGAATTATTCTCATCTTCTAGTCCTGCCTATCTTCCTGCCTCTATTAGCCAAACAGTGTTTTATTCATCAGCCAATAAAAGAAACATATATACAGAGGGATATCCCCCATCACTACCCTGTCTCAAAAAACAGGGTGAATAGCGATCAAGGAAGATACCAAATACACTACACATATGCATGTGTCTATACATACACATATCACACATACATATAGCACACAAATATGCACATAAATTTCCAAACTAGCTGATTGGGTTACAAACAAGACCCAAGAAAATCTGCCTGCAAGAAACTCATATCACTAGCAAAGTCATACATAGACAATTCTTTAAAAAATTAAGTATGAAACCAAGCAGGAAAATGCATATTCACATCAAACATGCATCATGCCAAAATGGTTAAAAGAGACATGAAAAGGTCACTATCTAGCAACAAAAGGAGCTGAGCTAAGCAGCTTTGCATCACTGACAAGTAACTGAAAGAACCCATTATAAAGAAGGAAAGATTGATTTTGGTTCAAGGTTTCAGAGGTTTCAACTAAGGTTAGCTGCCTCCATTGCTTTGCATTGGAGATTTTAACAGAAATTCACAAATGGGATATTAATGTATGAAATGGTGTTCAATCTCATCAGTAATCAAGAACATGTACACTAAAATCAGCATTATAATACATACTTCAGAAATGGCTAAAATAGAAAATATTGACAGTTTCAAACACCACTGGTAACATAGAGGACTGTTACGGTCTTCTAGGATGGTTTTTAATTGTTAAAAACAATTTTAGGAGCTCTTTTGCAACATCTATCAGCAATAAATGTTTGCATATCCTGTAACCTAGCAATGTCAACAAAGGGCATGCACAAAGATATGTAGGAACAATCTAAAATGCCCATAGTGGTTGAGTGAGAAAAGGAATGGCAGTCACTGAAACACTATATATCCAGCAATAGATAGGAATAGACTCAGCGGTAAGAAGTACTGAATCTCAGAGTGACAGTGTAAGCAGCAGCAGAAGACATGAAGAAAGTGTAGGTTATGATTCAGTCTACATTCAATCTAAAACGCTGAATCACCCACAAGTCAAAATGTCAGTCACTTATGTGGAAGAGAGGCAGGAATGATGTTGCTCTGGTCGTAACTGGTAATGTTTTACCTCATGACACATTGAAATAGACCAGTAGATTTTGTGATAATTCATCAAGATAGAACCTTTCTTGTATTATGTTTTTCATAAAATATATGTGGATATTTGCTAATGGATGGAGACTCATATAGTTGATACAATCTTTTAGTTTATGTCATGCATTGCACTTATAAGCAAAATATAGTAACCGTGTTCTTCAAAGTCATAGATCTCAAGTAATGGAATACTGAACTAAAAGCCATCATGAGACAATGGCTATAACTAGACAACAAGATATCTCAAAGCAAAAGTTAATCTGTTTTGACTAAATTTTATCAGATTTACTAAATTTGATGTAATTTCTTTAAATAGTGATTGACTTTAGATAAGTAAAATAATTTTATTTATATAAGCAAATTGGACCTTGGGGGTTACTTTGTCTTGTCAGAAAAGCAAACAACTAATATGAAATCATTTTGCATAGCCAATGGTGTGCCTTAACTGGTAACATTAAAGCTAATACTAGATGGCATAGTATACACAGTGCTGTTTTCAACAATGAGTAAAATACATTTGTTTCTAGAATCTAGCTGTTAACTTACCAAATAAATTAGTGCTGCGTAGGAAGCATACATTATGCTAGTTAAAGCAGTTTTTGCTGGAAAAGAAATGATGTCAAACAAAGAACCCTTTCTGGCCTGCAAAAACAACAGCAAAAGTTTATTAAAGTGAAAATTTCCAATGTTACCGTGAGAATTTAAAATTTTATCTAAAGAAAGTTGTCTCTGTGTTAACTATCTGGGCTTCTCGCACAGTGAAAATATATTATTTCTTGCTTCTCCCTCCAAGAAGACACATCCCTATTACTAATAAAAACCAGCAGCAAATCCCACAAGTCTGAAATTTCCATTTCTGGAAATGTTTCAGTGCTTACAACTGTGAAATGTACTTGCTAGGGGGTGCTCCCCCGAGTATTAGAAAAAGTTTTTCCTTTGTCCAAATTCGTGTAATCATTCTTTACTAAATTATTCACAACCTCAATTAAGTAAACAGCAATCAACATGCTAAGCATTTCCTGGAGATTAATGACCCACTTGCAATGTTAATCATGGGGCTGCTGCAGCCAGCCTTGACCTTAGATGATCATTAAACTCCAGGCAAGGCTTCAGGCTCATACCCAGTCTGCTGCTCTAAAGGGTTTATGCTCATAATGAATTGTCCTCCCACATGTTTTTAGTTTCTAGTAATAGGTGTTGTTGCCTTAAACATATCAGTGTAACATTTCAGTTTAGATAGATCATTCCTACAGGCACCTTAGGAAAGCATTTCCTTCCCTCCCCCCAGTGAAGTGGCAGCTAGCCATGCTGCTGTGAGGTAAGACCCAAGTGGTACGGCAGCTTCAGTGAGTGTCCACATGATAGGCTAGAGCTAATAAAGTCATAGGACTGCACAGTATAGAGTGCATGCATGCTAGAAAGAATAGTGTATACGTGGCCTTTTAAAGTGATATATAACGCTGAGGCTGGAGCTTCAACTCAGGGCGAGCATGCTTGCTTAGCATGCACCAGTTCTGAGTTATTCCCTAGCATCATCAAAACCCCAAACAACAGCAAATGTACATAGGAGTGTGTGTTCCAGCTATTGAGGGTGGGGAGTATGGCTCAGGCAGTAGGATGCTTTTAGCACAGCACTTTGAGGTCAGCCTGGGCAGCATAAGAAGATCTCATTTTGCAAATGTTATTTACAGCATCAAACAAACAAAAAACCCAAAAATAACCAATGATACCAGAATGGTCAGGAAAATGAAATTTAACCAATGATATAATTTAACTAATAATATATTCTGCGGTCTTTACGAGTATGCATTATGTTCCAGGTATTGTGGTCCTCCCTTTGTAACCTGACAGGGTAGCATGGGCTATTGTCACAATCACTCAGACCAGCCTGGAAGACACAGAATGACCCTCGCTTAAATAAGGTAGCAATAATACCAAATATGTGCTTTTTAAACACTCGGCTTGACTTTTTCCTTAAAACAACCCCACAAAGGTGGCATTTTTATTGTTAACTATTCCACAAAGAGCTGAGGAAAAAAGGGATGGAATGCCCTTCTTGGAACGACATAGCTGCTAATAGTAAAGGTGGACTTGAATGCAGAGCCACACCCCGGCCTGCCCCCTAGTCCCAGTCATCTGTGCTGCTTGAGTGCCCTTGAGTGGGCAGGGGAAGATGGAGCTAGATCTGGTTTCTGTCAAGTTCTTGTTGGGAAGACCAGAAAATTCTTTACAGTACTTAGCAGAATGCTTGCACAGGTAGCACTAAGTGTCAGGATAAGCACTAATATCTCATGGCACATGAGAAAAGGTGAGGTTAAATCTGTATGCCTAGCAAATGACTAAACTCCAAATAAAAGTGAGCCAAACTAATTTGTAATGATAGAAGTCAAAAAAAAAAAAAAAATGTACTCCTTCCTCGCAGGGGTGAGATCAGCACTGAAGAATCTATGAGATTTTCAGGGTGTGGATACCATAAAGAGTGTTCAATTTATGAAAATTCATTGACTTACACTTTTAATGATTTGCACATTTGTTATATATTTTGACTTAAAATTTAAGACTTCTATCCATCTTTCATATATAAAAAATACAACTAGCTTTTTATAGGAAAAATGAACAGAAATGTACCAAAATTGAAATAGCTTTTGTTTGAATAATACAACTGTGTATCATTAATATTTACAGAACACTCTTTATATGCCAGGTCTCTTCTAATAGCTTTACCAGCATTATTTTAGTCTCTAAGAAATCTATGAAGTAGGAACACAGGTTTAGAGAGATTAGAGTCTTTGGTATTGTCCAAGTTCAGTTGAAAAAGCACAGGGTATTGCATTAGGGAAATGTCCCAACTGCACCTATGCTCAGTGGTGCTTCATTGAGGCTGACTGCTGCCACTTCCAAATGGAGGACAGAACTGGCCATGGCTCTCAGGAAGGGATTTAAGGAATGCAGAAACAAGAGGCCAAGAAGAGTGTAACGTGAACTGGGTCTTTTTTCTCTCTTTGTTTCCTTCCTTCCTTCCTTCCTTCCTTCCTTCCTTCCTTCCTTTCTTTCGGTCTCACCAACTCCCATATATGGGAATAGACACTACTTTCTTACTGCTTTCTATTTCTTTAATAAATCATCACCATAGGACATAGATGTCCTCTGAGTTCTTGGCTTCCTTAAAGAGTCTTTGGAAAATGAATCAAAGGTTGCATTTTCTTTCTTCCTGGAAGCATATGAATGGCAGCATGCCTTTGGATGTGGCTTAGGGCTACAGAAGGCAAGCACGCAGGAAAAGTGGAGGAGAAAGAAGGGCAGACATACTCCAACAAGGCTCTTCTGTGCAGAGGAAGGGATGAGCAGGAAGTCACACGTAACAAAATAAAACTCGGTCTGTGAAAGAAACCATACTTCACCTCACTGCACATTTCTCTGGATTTATTCTCACATCTAAAGGTAATTACAATGGTTAGTTTCAAAATTAATTATGAGGATGGCACCTGTTACACTTGCGAGTAATTAATTTTGTATATTGCCTAAGGATTGCTGTTTTCAATATCTTACTGGTTTCAGCTTCTGTAACAAATTGTCCCCATAGCAAATATGCTTCCTCCAAAATTTACATGGCTTCTAGAAAGTAACATTTTTTGTCTTTAGTTTTTGGCTCACATGCTGTGGTGGTTTGAATAAGAATGACCCCCACAGGTTCATATATTTGAGTGTTTAGCCATCAGGAAGTGGCACTTTTTATGAGGTGTAGCCTTGTTGGAGGGGGTGTGTCACTGGGGATGGACTTTGAGGTTCCAAAAGTCCATGCCAGGCCCAGTTGCTCTCTCTCTCTCTTGGACCTGCAGATAAGGGTTTCAGCTACTTTCCCAGCACCATACCTGTCTGTCACCACGCGCTCTGCCATGATGATAACACACTAAGCCCCTGACACTGAAAGCAAGCCCCAATGAAATGCTTTCCTCTGTAAGAGTGGCCTCAGTCGTGGTGTCTCTTCATAGCAATAAAACAGTGACTGAGACACATGCACTACCTGCTTTATACATTACAAACCACCTTGCTTTGTTTCTGCCTTTTAGCAGGAGTAGCATGTAGAAAAACTAAAATAAAAGCAGATGTTTGGAAAAGTCTTTATTTACATTTTCTTGGTCTGTTTGAAATATTTTATCTTAATTTTGTTTATTAATTTCATTTGTTTACATATTTGAATAAAGTACAGTTTCAATGCTATGTCAATATTTTTAGTTTGGTTACATTACTATGCACAATATATAGAGTTTGAGACATGAACAAATTTCAACCTCTCAACTCCTTTCACATAATTGACTGTCTCATAGAGAAGCACCTCTGTTTTCTTTTCACTAATAACTACACAAATCACAAGAAAACCATGTTCCAGCAGCTGAGAAAATAAAGATTCAATTATATATAACTGCAGGATGGAGAGTTACCAGCCTTGACATCATGTTGCTCAGCATCACCTTGCTGAGAACAGAAGAGTCAGGGGCAAAGCTCTCCCTCTGTGACTAATGACCAAATGGAAGATGGGCTGGCTACTGTTAACAGGGAGGCCCAGGGGGAAAAAAAGGTTTCCTCTAAGCTGGCAAAAGCTGCATTGCCAAGCCTTTGCACTGTAACTCACCACACTTATAAGGACTGCTAGCACTCCACAGTACAGAAAGAGTTTGGTCAGCATCTTGTGGGTTTTGCCCACATCTTGCTCTGTACCTCCCCCACAATGCCTGCACACAATAGAAACAGTCATCTCATCTCAACCCAGGCAGATCTTTCAGCTCTGTGACCCCATGCTGACTGGCCTTCCAGAATCAACAGCTCTGTGGAGTCAGCATCTAAGCTGACTATCTAGGTCACTGCAGCAAGAGCAGCTGCAGGCTTGCTCAGCCAGGCTGGGCAGATGCACCTCTCTGAAGTGCTGGTGTTAGAGTGTCAGAAAGCTCCAGGGAATTCTCCACTCAGAGCTCTCTCCATTCCTGAAGCTTAACATCATTAGTACTCTCCTGTCACTAGTCTCAGCTTTGCAAAACCTGGAAGAAGAGTTCAGGCAGTAACATGACTCAGTCCATCTATACGATCAGGTGCAAAAGACGTTTCTAACAGGAAAGCCAACATAGATGCTAACTCCCAACCTCTGTGCCCACTTCAGACTGACCACTGGTAATTCTTCAGGTAATGTATGGATCAGGTCTTTAGGCAGTTCATGTTTTTTAATATATTTTAAATGGCACAGATCTGAGCATCCATTCAAAACACCCAGAAGTAGGCATTTTAGAGGCTCTGGGCTAGCATCGTTTCTCTGCTCACCTTGAGGAAAACATTACTGTAGATTTCATCTTAGACCTCCCTGTACCAAAGGACTCAGATATCAGTCTAGTTACATAGTCGATGCCCTAGTGGAAATGCTCCTCTATATCCATGCTTTACAGGAAAGTAATCTGCTTCACTGGTATTCCGTGTTAGTGATAACTTAGGCAGAACCAATTAAATTGTTCCAGGTACAAAAGGATGTGTCTTCCTATCATTCATTCTTAGATCGGAGACCAGATGTTTGGACCATGAAACATAACTTCAGATTGGTTACTAGGCCACTTTCCCACAGCCATGTTTACATAAAGTGATATCCTCCAGGCATT